CGTCGGGAGTACTTGTAAAATTTCAAATCGGTGTTGTACATTCGATTAACCGAATAATGGCGCTTGTTGGCGAGGGAACTTTGTGAATCAATAGTCTGCCTAGCGCTACCGAAATTAAAGTTACATGATTCTTGGACACATTAGAGTACTCAGCGTTGTCAGACACACGCGTCTTTAGTTATCTCACTCGTCTACCATCGTAGCCTGTTCGATACTCATTGTTCCAATGGGTATTGAAAACTCTACGATGGCACGTTTGCTGTTGCAAGTCGGAACTCACCTCGGTTCCTAATTAATCCGTGTAAAATTAGTATCAGTTACGTCGTACTTACGCACTTACTTACCACCTACGAGTGTGTGTTATTTATATATTTACAATTTTTCATACACGATTCGAGATTCTTAAAGACAAGTTCATCATATGACACACGAAATTGCATAATAAACCATTCGCTTTAGTGAAAATAATTCGCATGATTCAGTGAAAATAATTAGGACATAGTGTACTTTATTATGAGTTATTATGCTTTACCGTGATCTCATGGAGAACGATGTGAAGTGATCGGCGTTTTTCAAGATTCCAAGTATGAGATTCTTTTGACCTGACCGATTCCAACCATGACAAGTGACCATTTACAATCATCGCGAGTCATTACCGTCGGAAGCATCGATTCTCTTCGTCAGGGATAAACAAGAAATATGCAAAGAAATGTTGTGAATAAACTTAACCGGTTACGCTAATCAAAGGACTGTTAAACAACTAATGACTGGATGTTCAATAATCGGAGATTCATAGGATGAGTGTCCTAGTTGAACGGTTATCAAACGTTCCTCAGTCTTCGCGAGTAAAATATTCCTGTCTTTCTGTTTGATTTGTTGACCGTGCTTGTCGAGAATGGAAATTAAAAATACTGGGTAAATCCAGGATGACTTTTGCGTGTGAGCTATGCAAACGTTCGTCTTATTCACACGCAATGTACTCTTGGATGCATTTGGTTTTGCATACGAACGGATAAATGCATCGGGTTGCACCGAAATCAGAAGAAATTATGCTATTATCCACTGGAGAATAGAAACATGGCAGTGGGGTAAGTAATACATCTAGGTAAGTTTCCAATTACCATTGGAGCCAAATTATGGACACAGCTAACCGCCAAAGAATTTCGCAGAATAAAACGTTCTCCTTCCAAATGACAATTCTCGCAAATAATCAATCTACATTTCCTTTATTTTTGCCACCCATCACGCTCCAAACTAACCCTGACCAGTGCGCGCCATTTTGTCGATTCACGTCTCCATCTATTGGTACAAAAGGAAAGAAATGCGCAACGCGGAATGGGAGGAAATGTGATCACCGAAAACCACAAAAAGAAACCTTGCAGGCGTACAACGCTGTACACGCGAGGCACTATTTTAAACACTATCATATGTACAATCATATTTTCCCGATACGTCTGTGCTGAAAAATATGGGGTAAGAACCTTTCTCGGTGCGGGTGATACCCTTGAAGAACATCTCCGCACTCGCGCACCACAGAAACAATGAGTCTATGCATCGATCAGGGCCCGGCCACCTTATTTTCATTGTCTTTACGCTGCCATCACACTTTTGTACTACGAAGAGAAGTCAACGATGAAGAATCTGGGGCGGGAGGGGACGATGCGCAACGCGTTTCAGGAACTAACGATTTCTGCTGAGACAATGAGGATCCACGTAGCCGGATGAGACCGGCAGGATCATAGTTTCGGCACCGTTCAATTGGCATTGTCAGGGCAATGTCTAGGAATCACAATGAACGCTCTTCAAGTTCTCTTCGGCCTCGATAAGGCTCATTGCAGGCGCGCGAACACCGTTCTGGTAGACGTGCGTGACCAGAAGGAACTCGCAGCCAGTCCCATTCGTCTTACGCCGCGCCTTGAGCATTCCAGTTGTCGGAGATGGTCTAAGGCGGTGCCGTTTCATCGAAGGATACCTGTGGAGCACGCGTCGTGCTCGGATCTCCACGGGCTACACAGCGCAGCCCTTCCGCGTTCCATAAAGGATCTTCAGTTCCGGTACAATGATCTTCTTGATCAGCGCATTCGTCTTCGCTGTGAGCATCTCCCGGTGGGGGTCTTTCTTGAAGATCTTGATGCCTGGACGATGGACCAGGAACGCGTTGTCCAGGATGAGGAAGTCGTAGTCGAGAACGCACAGCGCGTAACCCTGGAACAAAATGAGCGCAGATGAATGGATGAAAGCAACCCTTATCACTAGAACTGCCGAGCACTGAAATTGACCTTTTGAAGTTTCTCTATAGAAACTCCAAGAGTTCTATTGAGACTTTAATTGATTCATAATTCATTTTGCATATTGCCAAATCAATTTCTTTGATAACTCACAGAAAAGCCTCTGCTATGTTTTTAATAATCGTGGAAAGAAGGAATCAGGAATGGGTGATTTTCCATCTGCTGGGTCTGATGTCTGATATTTAGGTAATGTAATTAATTAGAAGTTATTCGATTCTTCTGATCCTAAGTCTTTTGTTAATAAGTTGTGTAATCCTTAGTAATGCTAGAGTATTAATTATCAATGTTATCACTGTTTAATGTTATGATACATATAGTGTTGAATTAGAAGATCCAAGAACACTTAGCCCTAACCTGTGTCATTTTATCGCTTTTCCCTTCCCAGCTGAGCCTCTCATCGTACAGAGGATCGTTATTGGTCCCGATGAAAATCGGCTCCCAGTGAACGAAGCTACCTGTCCTTTTACCGACGTGAAACACGTGAAGGTCCTCGGTCTCTGGTGCCTCCTGCCATTCTTTGCTGCGAGGAACGTTATGGCAGCCAGAGCACAGCTTCTTGTGAAAGGGAATGGCTGTGCCAGCCTTCAGCATTTGAGCCTGGAACGAACAGGAAGAGGATCATGCAAAAATAGTTCCAGTTACATTCTAGCTTAATGAACGTGTGTATCACTATGATGAAGCATAATTGCGTGCGGTATCGCAGATGAAAAAAATTTAATGAAACTGAATAACAGAATTTATCAGCGGCAGAATTAAATTTAGTATTTTATAGAAGCGCGACCAATGGCGGGCTAGCGACGCTACTGATTGACTATATCGAAGTCCACGGTCAAAGGAAGCGCCATTGATTAAACGACCCTCGCGTTCATGCCATTTAACGCGTTGTCGGATAGTCTGCGACCGCCGCAGTACTATTTTGCCTGTATTTAATTGCCGTCAGGCTCACGTTGCAGAAATGTCAAGCGTGAACGAACCTTCTGCCACGACACTCATCTGATTTCTTTCCATCTTATAATTAGTGACGTTCTTAACAGGAATCTGGGTGATACTTCTGAACTCTAATGACCGTGTAACTGAAGAGGAATATAGACCAAGCTTGACATATTGACTCTGACCCAATTTTTTTACTGAACATGTCAGAGTAATTGGGTGGATACTTTTTTCTTTGTATGATGTATTACTTCTTTTAAAGTACTCTGCATTATAAGGTAAGATATTAATAAATAAAAATTATAAACTAGTTGAGAAGAAAGGTATTCGTTTTTTTCATTCTAAAAGTAATTATGCTTCAATAGTGAACACTTCACAATTAACCCTTTGCACTATAATCTTTCACTAAAGATACCTAACATTTTCCAATGAGACATTCTTCGAAATCAATCAATGAGGAAACATACATTATACCAGAAACAAAGCTATTTTCCCAATATTTCATATATCTACATTATACAAAGCTTAACCCTTCGCATTCAACAATATTTCTCATAACTAATACAAAGAAAACTTATATAAATCTCACACTGAATATCAGATATAGAAGATAGAAAACTTATATAAATTTCACACTGAATATCAGATTTCATAATTTTCCTGGATTATGTTAAATGGCTGACAATCACTTCTCCAGTGAAAAGGGTTAATATTATATATTATATATTATATATTATATATTATATTATATATTATATTAACCCTTTGCACTCGGAAATCTTTCATTAGAAATATTCAACATTTTTCAATAAGTTATAGACACTCTCTGAAACAAACTTAGCGAGGGAACATACATAAGTTAAGAAACAAAGTAATTATTTCAATATGCCACATACTTATAAATTACTCAAAGCTTAATACTGTATATAAGACTTTATAATTTTAGTATATCAAAGCAAACGGTGACTGAGAGTCTCTCGAGTGCAAAGGGTTAATATTATACGCAGGACTTCATAATTGTGTTATATCGGATCAAACGGTGACTGACAATCATTTCTCCAGTGCAAAGGGTTAAAACCATACAGCAGAAGCATCACTTGGGGAGCATCACGGGACTCACTAAATGCGTTTTATTATTCGGCGGCTGGCTCTTCTCGTCCACTTCGAATATGGACAGTACAAAAACTTTCGGGTTCGGCTTGTAAAGGGCCGGCTGGTCTCTTCTCCTGATCATCTCGAGGAACTTGGCGGGCAAGTTTGGATTAGGATAGAGCTCTATGTCGCTGGCGAATACGTAGAACGTGGGCGCCGACTCTCGGGCTATGTTCCGGCCGACGTTCACAGGGTATAGCAGCTTCTTCTCGTTTTTATACATCTTCGAAAGCGTGACGTTCACCCACGGTGGCCCCAGCGTGCAGTTGTACGTGTCGGACAGAACTTTCTCGGTTGGGGGCACCTATTTATAACAGATCAAACAAGCCACGGGTTAAGAGAACCTCGAAAACGCTGGCACCATTTGCATGGGAATATATTTAACCCCTTATGTCCTAAAATATTCTTTTTCTTCGCTGCCTCCCGCTTGTTCGGCGCAAATACTTTTTCGCGATTTTTATTTACCGTCGTAGAAATTGCAATTAATTTAAATTGCAGCCTTTTTCAGGGACGCGGGCGCATTCAGCGGATTACGGTGATTAAATGGCAGCTGCCGGTGTCTTCTGAATATAAGGGATTTAATTCTTGTTCGTGGCAGAATTTACGGTAGTTTTATTCGAATGGTTTTTTGATGGATTTGTTGTGTGAATAATTTTCGTTGTGATATGATTGAGAAGTGAATGTACAATTTGTATATAATAAATCAGATGATAATAAATAATTATATAAAGTAAATACAAAATAAGTGATTGAATAAAACAATAAAAAGTAAATTGTTAAGTAGAAAAATGTATGATTAAGAAATCATAATTTCTATTTTGACGGTCAGTTTCTCTAAAACTCTGTTCCCCAAATTACGCGAAGAAAATATCGATCGCAGCAAGACAGAAGTCTCAAAAAGTCAATGGGGACCCAATGAAAATGTTCTCAATCAAACGAAGAACGAGTAAACGCGCGCAATCTAATTATAACAAGCCCCTCTCAAAACTTCCCGTTAAAACAGTGTTAAACTGGCATATAAACCGACTACGAAATAATCGAATGAAAAGTGAATTGTGACGTGGATTAGCGAGCTGGCGAACGCCGAGAAGAGTGAAACGAGATCGCGACTAATAATAATTTGCGGTTCGGACAGTTTAAGAAACAAATTACTGGCGGAGAAGAAGGCATTTCCGGCGGGCAGCAACGTTTGTCCGCGGCGAAACTCTGTGATTAAATTGATCCATATCAAGTGGCAACAATTCTATATGCATGCGATTAATTAAAACGTTAGACTCTAATTGCGAGCGGTAATCCAGGAATTGTAATACCCATCAGTAATTGCACACACAAGGGACGGCCAGCAAGCACTATTGCCCGGGTAAATTAGCGCGGCCCGTTAAAAAGCGAGATTACGTTTGTGGAACAGAATAACTGGGTATATCGCTATCGACCGCTAAGTAGTTCCCGCATATCTGATTAATACTTTCACGATCTCTCCAATTCTGATCCACTTTTCAAGAAATTCTGTATTGTGTTTCCTGGCCGGCCATTCGATATGGACGCGATACCCGGGACTTTCCCTTTCAAACTTTTACCAAGGGGTTGCCGACTGCCAGCTACTTTCAAGAGCCTTGCATCTAATCAGCTATTCATACTGAACTTCTCGGTTACATCTTTAATGGGAGTAGTATGGAGTAGAAGAGTTCTGAAGTTTGATCATAGTCCTTGAAGGGTGACACGAACTTTTCAGTCTTGTGAACTGTGGGGTTGATATATATTCTGTGAATCGAATTGGTTGCTTGTAATTGAATAACTTTTTGGTTTCTGTAGAACAAAGTTTTTAACCGTATCAGTTGAATGAGTTCAGCTGAAGCTGGCAAGGAAGGTTACGGCCAATGTCTTTTTTAGGCAAAGTGATAAGGAAGGAAGTGGTCTGTAGCTTGAAATGATAATGCATATCATGTAGAATAAAATTCGTGGAGATGTTTCTATAATGGAACTTAGGATGATTGTCTTAAAATATAGATGAACTTAGGAGACCTTTACTTTTAGAGGATCAGCAAGCTGGGAACATAGCTAGAATTGAATTGGTTGCTAAATGTTGGATGAAGTTTCTTGTGGTACTTTTGTAAATTTGAATGACTGATCTTATGCAACCATAAACCAATGCTTAAGGGATGACAAAATTAGAGAATCTCCCTGAAAGTAGTAACTTTTCCTTTATCTTGCAACATTGTTTTCAGTTATTTCAATTTTAAACCCAATTTGCAGCAGTTTTCCCCATCCATGAACTGTGGAAGTGTTCAATTAACACCGCAACAGTTGCTTGTCCCAGGTTCTTCACGGTATGCACATGCCCTCGTGCATAACGCCCGGTGTATTATCTTTACAAATAATTTCCGACAATCTTCCCAAAGCCGTGTCACGAGAATTGTCCATTTCCTAGCGAAGAAATGTCCACGCAGCGGAAAAATTTGCAAGAAATGCTTCTTGGTGGTCGCCAACCGTGAAACCCTAGCTACTAGAATAATCGTTCTTCCTCTGAAACGACGCGATGGCCTTGTGCCTTGCAAATGGAGCGTTCGGCATTTCGTGTTTCCCCAGTAACAAACGTTTTCCCTTGCATTCCAACTGAATTACAGGTTCAGTAAGAAATTCGGTTTCACCTGAGTTCAACATCTTAGCTACAAAAACTGTAGTATCATGCAGCTTTATTAAATGAAAGTAAAATGGTAAATTAAGTGTTATACTCTGAACTATTATCTAATATAGTAAGGATACGTATGATACTATTATACTATTGAAATTAGAAAATTCAATGGGAACAGCAATGCTTAAATTGATTAACACGTTGACTGCCAAACAGGCACTCTCCAAAACCTCCACACAATCAATCTTCATAATAAAGCAGAAACTAAAAGGTCAAAATTCTTGGTAACAATTCCCCTATTGTCCTTCTATATTTAATACATCTAACAAAATTCAGTTTGTGCGATACGTCACCGAGAAAATTTTTAAGTTGAAGAAAATGCTGTCGCCCGAATTCTGGCGACATGGCAGTTAACCCTTTACGGACGAAGATTGTTTTTAGTACACAAAACCTTTCGCAGATTCTGCTAAACTAAACGCTGAATACTTAAATCATAAAGAATAAGGAAACTGTGTATCGATTTCTTGCTGTTCGAATAGTTAAATCTGCAACTTGGTATTCAAAACATGGAAGTTTGATCTCAGCAAAATGCCGACATTCGTCCGCAACGGGTTAAAGTGTTAAAGAAAAAAGGGCTCGTATTAAATGTTATCGATAACATAAAGTGTAAATTGCAGTTCCACGGTGCTTATACGAGCCGCCACTGAACAAAGCATCAATGAACCAACCTACCCCAACCCCGTCAACGATCCACCCGCAGCAACCGCGGGAAGCTACCCGCTGCGCTAGAGGCTAGACTAGGTCCGCGGACTATTTACCACTTTTGGCACGTGTTTGCTGCTGAAGAATACGTGGAAGGTGACCAGCTGGGCGACCAGGGGGTTGCCGCAGTATCTCGAGTACTTGATGGCGTCGAGTGTCGCCGGGAAGTCTGTGCCAGGGGCGTGCATCGCAATCGATATCGGCGCCCTCCATCTCTCCAGCAGGGGCTCCAGATTGTCCAGGAACGTGTAGTCCGCGTGCGTGGTGTACGTCACGCTCTCCCAGCATCTGACCGCCATGTTCATCGGCACGTAATTGTAGAGGACCCAGTAGTCGCCGCGCTGCGCCCTCCTCGGCTCCAGCGACTTCTCGTTGCAGGCCACAGCCTCTTTCAGGCTCATCGGCGGCCGGGTCTTCAGCGTGCCGTTCTTCGCCTAAACCAGAAACAGGCAGAACGATAACGACCGGTTCATCGATTCGCTAGCTGGAATCGGATTAACCCTTTTTGCGCAACGCGTCGCGGGCCACTGGGTCGTCTGAGGACTGGGCAAGCGACTGGGAGGCTGTGTTCACGGGAAGAGCTCTGAAAGGAATGTCGCATCGGTTAGCTTTCATCTTTTCTCATCTCGATTGTCTGCTGTTCGTCGTCGTGGTTGCAGATGATCAAGGAAAATTATAAACAAGATCCCTAGAGGAACACCTCTCGCCTCTGTGTCGTTTCTGGGGCTCTTCTCGTGAACACGGAGTAGCTTTGACTGGGGATGCCTGATTTCTTCAACTTTTCTCACCTGGTTCTCTGGGTTTATATGATAATTTCCGATCAGGTGTCGGAGACAGGCGTGGAGGAGAGAAGTGCAGTTAGAATTGTTATTAGGTATTGATTCTGAGTGATGTTTCGTTTCTGGTTCGGTATTATATAGAATCTGTACCTGTGTTTAGGTTCTACTCCTTTGAAAATAACGATTGTAATTTTGCTTCGGTTCTTCGTAACTGTTTCTATTGAAATACTATTGACAGATCGGTGATCGGTTACGAGTTAACCCTTTGCACTCGAGAGGTAATCACTTGATTTAATACGAAACTATGAAGTCGAGTATTTAGTATTTTATATATGAATTATCGTTAAATTAGTTTCAAACAATGTCGTCTACGTCCCATCGGAAAACGTTGAATATTTCCTGTGGGAATCTTTCGAGAGCAAGGGGTTAAGGCTGCCTGAGATTCAACGCTGATCCCTAAGGAACGCTAAATAAACAATAGTTCCAATAAACCCGAGATTTCTTGCGAATTATGGAAGAGACGTTCTCCAGGCTGGAGTATTACTTTTGTTCTCCGCTATGTCCTCGGGTGATTAATATTCAAGGCCATTAAAACGCCAGTCTTAACAGATAAGAGCGCCCGCCTCAATTTCGCGGAGGAGTGAGGGGACGCACGTGTGCCGCTCTTCGCGGACTGAAATATTAAGCCCCGCGAGAGCTGAATTTGCCGCTCGTTTCAGCCTGACACGACGTAATTTTCCGAACGGAGAAAAGACTCGGTAATGGCCGCTATCTGCCGCTTCTGAATCTTTTAGCAACCGTATATACACTTAGACCGGCTATTGGCGCTGCCTCCGGGGAACGGAAAAATTTATTTTAATTTCCTCGAGGAACGGGTACTAAGGGACCTCCGTGGATTCTCGTTCGTTGTTATGGAAGCGGAAAACTCCTAGAATTTACAATATTGCCTGGCTACCTTCTATCTTCGAACAGTTTTACTCGCGAACTTCTTTTAGCCCGTAGTTTCTCGCATATAATGGAACCATCAGAACTAACAGAAAAAGACGGTTCGGATAATCGAATGGTACGATAGAATCTTTACATGGAATCGCAAGGGAGGACATCTTCGAGTTCTCTGGATTGGAGACGAGTGGAAGTAGCAGAAGTTTGAACTATATGTGAAAGTGGATTTTGATTTGTCGGGGTTGGGTTTCTTTTAAATTTGAATTTTAAATCCAACTCCCAAAGATAAGTTTTCATCTAAATCTGACTTGCAAAGTCCAAGAACGCACCAGGAACCAGTGAAGCAACGAAGAAACTTCACGAGTCGTATAGATTCGGCTCGTACAAACTTACGAATCTAATTTCCAAGCATAATGCTTCATTCGAAGCCAATTTACAAGGGTAATGCCTCATCCAAATCCGACTAGCAAAATCAAAGATCATACTGACAACCAGTGAAACAGCGAAACTCCGCAAGAATCAACTCGGGCAAGTCCAAACCTATAAATCCAACTTCAAAGCTCCATCCAAATCCAGCTTGCAAAGTCAAAGACCATTCGAAAACCCAAACAACGAAGAAACCTCGCAGGAATCAACTCGGCAACTCCGAAACCTATAAATCCAACTCCAAAGACAACGCTCCATCGAAATCCGGCGACCACACGAAAACCCAGCGGAACATCGAAGAAACCTGTCGAGTCGCGTTAGTCCTTGCGTATCGCGAGTGGCTCACCGTCGGATCGTGTCGATGATCGTTCTTGTCAACGGACGCGGCGCCCTTGGCCTCGTTGGGCGTCGGCCTCGTGGTGAGCAGCCTCGCCCTGGTCAGACTGGTAGTGTTACCGGGCCGTGGACCCTTGCCCGCGGCATCCTTGGTGGCTGGCAGGGCCGACGACGCCGCGGCGGCGCCCTTCTGCGTGCCATTCACGAGCTGCTGCTCCACCGCGCCACCAAACGTCTCCGACTGCAATGGCGCCGCCCAGTTCGTCGGCGGTTCCTCGATCCAGGGCCCGGAGGAGCCGAAGTGGGCGCACACGTAGAGCAACACGCAGATGTTGAGCACCACCGACACGCGCAGTGCCCAATTCCTACGCAGTATGCTGAACAGGCTCATTCTCCAGCCTCCCCCAGGTCCACGCTCCGGCTACTGCGGCGACGCAGACCGCGTGATGATCCACCACGGCGCACTGCCCTTCCTCCTCCTCCTCCGCCACCTCCTCGATCGCCTGATCCGCCGCCTCGCCACCCCTGAGGGGCCCGTGCTGATCCGCGATCAGGATCTGAGCATGGTTCCACCAATCCCCGACCCCCTCCTCCTGCTCCTTCCGGCACCGATCTGGAACAGAACGCGTCCAAACTGGTCAGCTTGGTCTCTCGTCACTTCTGGGATTTTCGATGGCCGTTTCGAGGCACTTGGAAAAGTGGAGTGGTTGATGGATTGCAGGTTTTGGCGTGGTCTTTGTGGCTGAGAGGTTTGGGTGGCGGTGGGTTTGATGTAGTTGGATGTTTGATGCTTGGTGTTTGAATGTTTGGTGTTGGATGTTTGATGCTTGATGTTTAGGATGTTTGGTGCCTAATGTTTAGGAATGTTTGATGTTGAAAGTTTGATGCTTGATGTTTTGGATGTTTGGTGTTGAAAGTTTGATGCTTGATGTTTAGGAATGTTTGATATTGAAAGTTTGATGCTTGATGTTTAGGAATGTTTGATATTGAAAGTTTGATGCTTGATGTTTAGAAATGTTTGATACTGAACTTTATGTAGTGTACTGTTGCGTGGAATATGAAAATGAAATAGTCGTTTTGTTTCTTAATTTAGATGTGATCTATCGTTGCGTTAGTTTTAGAAATATTATATCTATCTATATTTATATCTTAACTGCATTATGTTTCGCCTGTATCTCTGTGCCTATGTCTATATCTGATCTATATCTCTATATCAGATCATCACAAAATGTCGAACATTTATAAGCAGAAACTTTCGAGTATAAAAGGTGAACTTAGTCGCTTATTAAAACACGATACCAACAAAGAATTATGAAGTTATACAGAGTAGAGATTATGATCCATAAATTAAACAATAACTTGCTACAAATTGTTTTTAACAGAACGCGCATAGTAAATACAGGGCCGCATGCAACTCGCCGGTTGCTTATCGGCATCTTAGATGGCTGTTCGCTACGGCCCGTTGATTGAACACCTCGGATTTTCTATTGGAAAGTTCCGGACAACAAAGCGAAACGTTGTTAAGTAAAACATTCAGCTCCATTTTTCCTAACCGAAAATAACAAAGGTTATCAAAGTGATTCAAGCAAATTTCGTAATCTTAGATAGTTGTTACCTATAAGAAACTAATGAAATTTCCTCTTGGCGAAGAACATTATTAGAAACAGCATAGACTCTTCCGTTTCACCAGCGCGTTATTAACAACAAGTAGTTCTAACAAGTGTAACTATAAAATTAAAACGTAGTGCAAGAGATTGAAGCGACCTACAATCTTATAGAAAGGAGGAAGAGGTTGGAAAAGATTTGAACAGAGGGAGAGAGCGTTTCATCCGAGCAGAGACGAGAAAGGCTCTCAGCTGCAGCCACAAGGTGAAAAAGTAAAACATATCTGAAACCGAAACTGCCAAAACTTCCAACCAAATTCGTACGACTGTCTTTGATGCTTTTACAACCAGGAACACTATAGCTGTTCAAAGCTTCCAGGTAACCTTTTATCTACAGCGGGACTAGCCCTGAAGCTATATCTCTGTCCACGGCTTACGGTCTACGATCATAAAGGTAGCACTGCGATTTGAGACTGATAGAATTTCCCAGTGTGCAATTACGTTAGATTAGACTATAATGTGCACAGCTATCGACGACGGAGAAAGAACTGAGCCGCTATAATGGCGCACCGTTCAAAAAGACGATAAACGCGAGGCCACTAGCGTATGGTAGCTAAAAGGTTAACCCCTGTCCCTCCCCAACATTCCATTAGCTAGCACAAGGTAGCATCATCAGGAGTTTAATCTACGATACAAATCTGACAAAGGAGAAAGACTGCCCTGGCAAGCCTTTGAGAAGACGACTACTCCAGTTCGGAAAAACTAAATTCCCAGCTAGCAGGATAGCTAAAAGGTTAATGAAGTTAACCCCTATCCACTAGACCCCTGTCCCTCACTAACATTCTATTAACTAGCACAAGGTAGCATCACGAGGAGTCTAGTCTCTGATACAAACTTGACAGAGAAAGACTGCCCTGGCAAGCCTTTGAGAAGGCGACTACTCCAGTTCGGAAAAACTCCAAATTTCCAGCTGGTATCGTATGGTAGCTAAAAGGTTAATAAGGTTAATCTCTATCCGCTAGACCACTGTCCCTCCCCAATATTCCATTAACCAGTTAACTGTGGAATTTAGTTGGAGAACCTCTCGTTCTGCAATAAAATTGAAAAATGGAGCGTGTACTCGTCGAATGCAGGACGAATGCACGTAGAGTACATTTTAATGGAAGATCAAAGCGAAACAAAGAAGAATTACACGTTTATGTGAAAAAATAAAGAATTCATAAAGAATTAGTATCACGTCAAGCTTTACGACGACTTAAACTCGTCAAACACAGTTAACCCTCTGCACTCGAGAGGTGACTCTCACTCACCACTTGATTTCATACAGTAAGACTATAAAATTTGATACTTAATATTAAACTTCGTATAATGCATTGAGAAATATCCAAACAAAGTAGCTTTGTCCTTCAATATAAGTATGATTTCTCGTCGAGTTAGTTTCACAAAATATCCTCTCTACTCATCAGAAAGTCTTAAAATATTTCCAATGAAGAACTTCCGAGTGCAAAGGGTTAACTGGTTAACCATCACAAAGTAGCATCACTAGTAGTCTAATCTCCGATACAAACTTGACAAAGGAGAAAGACTGCCCTGGCAAGCCTTTGAGAAGCCTACTCCAGTTCGGAAAAATTCCAAATTTCCAGCTGGCAGCCCCGATCCGCCGCTTTGCGAGCTCGATCCGAGAACAATCCCGGTCGAAAGGGTCGGTTCGTCAGCGCGGGCGGATTAAAACGGTCGATGGGTACCGTCGGATCCGCTCGTTAGCCGTTCGCCGGGTTTTTTAATGAGTTCTGGCGGTGCCGCGGTGATTTCGCTGCGCGAGCCGCGCCGCTGGGTGTCCTCGGATAGCAGCCTGGTCGCCCGGTCACCCGGCTGGGCGAAAGAATCGCGGCTTGTTAGCCGGCCGAGTTACCTAATACGAACCCGGTGATAATGACACGTTGCGCGACGGCGGCGGCGGCGGCGGCGGCGGCCGGTTGCTACATCTTTTTGCCCCGTCGTCGCCGCGAGTCCGCCACGCATGAATGACTACGGCCGAGAGCACGGCAATGGCTTCATTGTTAGACCGTTAGACACGCGACGGATCAACTCGTTTTATTGCGGACCAGCACCGTGCCGGACATGGCCATTTTTCTGCTACTGGTTGCTGTCGACGGAGCAGTGATAAGTTTCGCTGGTTCTACGGTATACCGTTGCGAGAGGATCATTGGAGTGATGGGGAAGTTGGTTTAGAGTGATCTTTGTGTCACCAGGTAGATCGAATCAAGAATTCTGTTGATTTTTTAGGAAGTGGAAGCTGCCTTGAAGATTTGACGCTTGATTTGAAATGGTTGACCGTGATTCCTTTTTTTGGTGTTAGGTACCATTTAGATTTTGCCATTAGGCATTATCTTGATTAGCTGTTAGATACCATTTAGATTTTGCCATTAGGCACAATCTTGATTTGCTATTAGGCATTATTTAGGTTTAGCATTAGATACTATCTTGGTTTGCTATTAGGTACTATTTAGGTTTTGCCATTAGGCATTATCTTGATTAGCCATCAGGTACCATTTAGATTTTGACATTAGGCATTATCTTGATTAGTCATTAGGTACCATTTAGGTTTTGCCGTTAGGCACTATCTTGATTTGCTATTAGGTACTATTTTGGTTTGAAGATTTAACAGTAGAGCTGGTAGATGGAGACAAATGAGTGATTTGATTTGTTTTTAATATTAGATACCATTTAGGTTTACTACTAGGATGTATATAAAATTTTGTTATTATTATTATGGTATATATAACAGATTAAAGAAGAAACCAAATTCAGTACTACGCAAATTGGATTGCAAATTATTCAAACTTTCGATAGTTTAACTTCCATAGTTTCCACGAGAAAATTGAACAAAATCAACTTAATTACCTAGTAGTTCTAGTGTTAATGGTCCTGAGTAAAAGGAGTTATGTTTCTGGAAAGTATATAAATATTCTGGCAATTGACAGTGAATTAAAAGAATGTTTGAAACCACTGAAGCACAAAGGGTTGACGATCGCATGATTTTCTTTTCGAAATTAGAGTGAATGCGAGAACAGAGATTTTTCTTCCGACTGGTTAACTTCTTTTCAGGATGACCTACAAAAAAAAAATGGAATTCAATGAGAAACACCCACCCCCGCGCCACCCACTCTGGAATCTTCCCGTGTGCTGGCAAATCCTCCCGATCAATAGTAAACGGATGGTCGCGTTCTTAAAGAAAGTCAATAATTAAACCGCCGGTGACAATGGCCACTATCGGGACAGAGCATTTCCGGTTCCCGTCGTGTTGGCTCGAGTACCTTCCAATGAAACGAACACTCACTCGTTCACTCACCGACGCAATACGTGATTCTGACTGAAATGTTACTAAAAGTTAGTTGTTGGCTAACTTTCGATTCCACGTCAACGTTGCGTCAATGTCTGACAGGGAAAAAATGGAAGATATTAACCCTTTGTACTCGACAGTGTAAATATTCATTTTTCGATATACATATTTCTCGTTCGATACAAACACTCATTTTTCCTTGTTTAATTCAGTTTTCGACTGAAATGTCAACAGAAGTGAGTTATCGAGGCTAACTTTGGTTTCCGCGTCGACGTTGCGTCAATGTTTGACGGAAAAAATGGCACAAGATGTTAACCATTTGCACTCGACTGTACCTCTCGATGTAAATATTCATTACCTTGTGTTCTTGCAATGTAAAAAAACCTTGCATAAATTAGGACGAGAGTATTTTATGTCAGTGGTACGTGTGTTGATACATTACGCAAACTTTGATACTGTGTATCAAATTTTGCGATTTCCCTTCGTTAAATCGTGTGACCCCTGAGCCCAAAAGATTAATGATTAAGGTGCGAGGGAAAACTGAAATTAAAATTGAAAGTCACTGGAAGATAGTTATCAAAGCTAACCTTGTATTTCGTGTGAATGTTACGTCAGTGTTTAAAAGGAAAAAAATGTCACAAGATGTTAACCCTTTGCACTTGACAG